GATAAATTACAGTGGAATTCTATGGTATTAATGTGGTAATTTATGATTTTTTAGTTATTCAAATGTATATATAAAACCTAAGAAAATTATTTTCTTTCCTATCCTCCAAGTGCAAAATTTTTAAAGGTTTAGCAATCTACGTCAAGCAGTAACCATGTACAAAGGTCTTGACTAGAAGTGATAATTCTTTGCTTTACTTATTTAGTTACTGTTCTATGTTTCAAGAAAAATAACTTTAAGAACTTATTTCAGAGTAGCAATAATCTATATACATATATAATGTATGATAATTGAAATATCACTGTATTTTACAAAATACTAGTCTACTAAAACACAGCCAAGACAAGTTACTTTGTACAGACCAAAGGTCAGTTTTATGTTATTTGATACAGTAACATGAGTGCACGTGAGCCACACTATTGTAACTTCTGTATTCTTAGCCAGGCACAGCTGAAAGGTCAATATAATAAAAAATAATAAATGTATAATGTTATGAGATTTAATCTATTTAGTCTAAACATTTACGTTTTTGTGTTATAATCTGTGTTGATTCTAGAACGAAGGAGGCATAATTCATGTTTATTTCCTAATTTTGTATGGTGGTTGCGAGATCAGTCAAATCTATCGAACCTCTACAGAGATTAATTACTGAAAATAACAGATAAAATATAAAGTTTTTTATTAAGAAACATTTGATAACTATCTGGACATTATAAAGATTTTACATGTGAAATTTGAAAATTTTCTGATGCATAAAAGTATTTTTAATCTTAAAATGAAAATTACTCTACATATTAAATAGGGAACATGAAAAGAAAAAAACAAAGGCATGAGAAAAATCATTGCTTTACAAACCTTAAGACTTAATAAAAAATTAGATATTTTGTGTATGAAAGCATTGTAATGTTTACTGATAATCTGCCAAATTTCGTTAACATTCGAAGACTAATTTAAATATTATAGCACAAAATGGTTATGATGTCAATTCCAGGAACCAAGCCCATGCTGAAAGAGTTAAGTTATTTTTTCTTACAACTCGTTTACCACATACTACACAACTGCACAGCTTCTCACCAATACATATATTGTCATAAATGTTTAGGCCATTGTAACATAAAAATCCTTTGTTACATACTAAAAACTCTATGGATTTCCCCAGTGTGCATCTTCTCATGTATTTCAAGTTTACTTTTTGTTCATAGATGTTTACCACATATAACACATCTGTATGGTTTATCCCCAGTATGCACCTTCTCATGTCTATTTAACTTACTTTTACTTTCAAATTGCATACCACATACGACACAACTGTGTGGTTTTTCCCCAGTATGTATCTTCTCATAAATATTTGGACCATTTTTACTCTGAAATCCTTCCCACAAACTGCACAACTGTATGGTTTTTCCCAAGTGTGTATCTTCTCATTGATGTTTAGACCTTTTTTACTGAAAAATCCATTGCAACAATAATAAAGGTTGTTTGCAGGGTATCACACTGTGCTATGAACTCACCAATCACCATTCTATTAAGTACATGTGGATTTACTAGGACCCAATAACAAAAGTTGTCTGTAGTGCATCACACTGTGCTCTCAACACACCAATCACCACTCTATTAAGTACATGTGGATTTACTAGGACCCATTAATAAAGGTTGTCTGCAGGGTATCACACATGCTATGAACTGACCAATCACCACTCTATTAAGTACATGTGGATTTACTGGGACCCAATAATAAAGGTTGTCTGCAGGGTATCACAATGTGCTATGAACTGACCAATCACCACTCTATAAAGTACATGTGGATTTACTGGGACCCAATAATAAAGGTTGTCTGCAGGGTATCACACATGCTATGAACTGGCCAATCACCACGCTAATAAGTACATGTGGATTTACTAGGACCCAATAATAAAGGTTGTCTGCAGGGTATCACACATGCTATGAACTGGCCAATCACCACTCTATTAAGTACGTGTGGATTTACTAGGACCCAATAATAAAGGTTGTCTGCTAGGGATGAGCTGCATTAGCTCAGTGTTTTGGATCATTAGTGTTCTAATGTAGTAACTGTTTGTCCATCATAAATGTTTTGAACAGAAGTAAGCATAAGCTCAGTGTTTTGAATAATTAGTATTCTAATGTAGTAACTGTTTGTCCATCATAAATGTTTTGAACAGAACTAAGCGTGAGCTCAGTGTTTTGGATAATTAGTGTTCTAATGTAGTTACTGTTTGCCCATCATAAATGTTTTGAACAGAACTAAGCGTAAGCTCAGTGTTTTGGATAATTAGTGTTCTAATGTAGTAACTGTTTGTCCATCATAAATGTTTTGAACAGAGCTAATCATGAGCTCAGTGTTTTGGATAATTAGTGTTCTAATGTAGTAACTGTTTGCATATCATAAATGTTTTGAACAGAACTAATCATGAGCTCAGTGTTTTGGATAATTAGTGTTCTAATGTAGTAACTGTTTGACCATCATAAATGTTTTGAACAGAACTAAGCATGAGCTCAGTGTTTTGGTAATTAATGACTATATTCTTTTAATAGCTTTGAATTTATTTTTTAATTTTCTATAGTAAAGAAACATACCAGTGTTGGAAATCTAGCACACATATAAGAAAACCTTCACTATTCAAATGATAATACCATTTTTGCACAGAACCTCTTGAGAACATTCAAACATTTAATTCACTCAAGTTCTGAAGGGGAAGACACCAGATATGCAGACCAGACTTTCTGAGATCAACTTCTGGTTAAATTAAGGCAGTAGATTAGCAGCTGGAATGTAATATTAAACTACTTAGTAATTACTATCTAGAAATAATTAAAAACAGTAACTAATTAATAATTTGACATAGGTGATTGTATAAACTAATAACCAATACAATGTAAGGATATATAATTTTAACAACCTTATTTATACACTTCAAATTATAACTAACACTTAACTAAATATAACACTATCTCATCTTAACCAGTAGTAATGATTTCATGAATTATTTTGAAGATGTTTTATTTACCAGTGAAAGTTTCTGACCCACAGCCAGCTTGTTGATAATCATCTTGTATTTCCTTTCCTTTTATCACACTCAAAACATCATCTTTAGAGTCATTATCATCATTCTCACTCAACTTAGAAATAATCTCATCTTGCTGTGTATCACCAGGTTCATCTGACTGTACCCTAACAAATGTGTTCTGAAATCAATAGGTTAATAAAAAACTATGTAATCTCTACAGTAGAAAATTCAGTACATACATATAAAGTCTTTACAGTTTATCAACTTGAATGTTAATATTTTTATACACTGAAAAGTTTTTGTAGTTGATACTTACCTCCCATCACACAATAGCTTTTCTCGTTCAGTGCTGCCTTCTAAAGGCACAAATCTCTTTGCTCACTACTAACCTTGGAACTCCCACCTACCCCACATTTCAATATGCTTCAGCAGCATTATAGCATGCAAATAAGCATGCTACAACCCTCCACCAATTAGAGAATGACACACTCTCCTATCTTAGTTTGTTCAATCTGTACTGTAGAACTGAATCTTCACTTTGAGATCAGGCAGAAAAGAAAAATCAGATATAGAGAGAAAAGATAGGAAGTGTGAGGAGAGGTAAGTGTCCATTGGAAATATATTTTCAGCATAGGAAAATATTAACTTCTGACATGATATCTTACCTCTACTCATATAACAGCTAGAATCCCACAATACCTGGTGAAGGTACAGCTTCAAAATTTACATAAATGAGCAACTTTTGCAAAGTGTCTGCAGAACGCTCTCAGAGATGTTTTCTTGTTAGAGGAATGCACTCATGGGAAAACACACACAACATCTCAACTAGGTATACTCTTCGACCATCATGAAAGCATGTGTTGCTAAATTGGGTGGAAAAGAAGAGCACATCCTTGACTGTAGATACAT